AAACAGAGACCAGACGGGATCTGGGGATTGAGAGGCAGCAGGACATGGAGGTCTTGTGTGCATGTTTTATCCCATTTGTGTCGATTAAGGATCGTACCGTTGTTGGAACTTCTGTTGAGATTGAAGGCATGCCACTCACTTAGCTGGTCGGATAACTCGTTCTGACCGCGAAGCCGAGTATCTCAACTTAGGTCAGGCCCCGTTCTATAAAAGTACGCACTCTGGATGGTAGTAAGGATGTGCAGGGAGCCAGATGTGAGCCCAAGGGCAGGCCGGGCCTGAACGTCCTGGCAGCTGGTTATCCCTGATTGTCCAGCGCTGGGCGAACCCGTGAAATATGGACCTGAGTTGTACCAAAGGTGACCTAAGGCTACCATGGCTGGTAGACCTGGATTTGTGTTAGGAATAAATTCCCAGCTGGTTGAAATCGATTTGAATCACCATCTCTCCCGAACAGTGAGAAACTTGGCTAGCTCCAACATCATAGTAACTGGATTATGGAAAGATGGTTATGGTGAACTTGGAACTTTTACACCGGCTATGGTTAATATTGTTATGCTGCTAAATGATATACCACATATTTGGCACAGGTTAGTTGCTAATCTAGAGATAAATAGTTATAATTAACTTGAGGACCAAATTATAAAATGTATAGCTGAATTAGTGGCTTTTTATGCAAAATATTGTCAAGCTAGCTCCACTTATAAAGCATTGCATGATCCTTGGTGTCACTTTATTTCTGGTTTATGATGGGTAAGTCTAGCTGAGTACATTCAAGTACTCAGGGTTTATCCCACCATGTTGCAGGTGAAGTTCTTGGCCTGCTAAAGATGGTGGCTAACCGCCGGTGGGCTTGGTGACTATATTTATTTCTCATCTATATGCTTTTATTAGAGGATGTCACTTATGCTAGCAATGTATTTGGAACTTATATTAATGTAATCATTTGAAAGCTATGTTGTTTTCCTTTAATCGGTTTTAAAACCCAAGCTTGTACTATTATTTGTGAACCCATTTGTAATATTATTTCTGCTGCAACTCTATGTATGTGATGTGTATTTGCTTAATCACGCGAGCTTGGTTGTTAAGTTGATTTACCGAGGTCTTTCATGACACTCGGCGGACTACCGGAATTTATATAAGTGAGAGTATGCGCGTGTTACCGTGTTTAACGGGGACAGTCATACTTGATCTTATATAAATTGGGCGGTTCTATCACACAAGAGATCCTAACACTGGAGGCACCCCAAGCGGCTACCAAGGCCAAGGAGACCAAGGAGGTGGACCTTGGCACCGGCGACAAGAGCAAGACCACCAAGATCGGGGCCAACCTCGATGCCAAATAGAAAAGCACGCTCGTCAGCTTCCTACGCACCAATGCAGATGTGTTTGCATGGAAACCTGTAGACATGCCTAGGGTGCCGCGAGAGTTGATCGAGCACTCCTTAAACGTCTCGCCAACCACCAAGCCAATCAAGCAGAAGCTTCGACGATTCATGCAGGACAGGAAGGAGGCTATTAGGGTAGAAATAACACAGCTCTTAGCAGCCGATTTTTATTAAAGAGGTGTATCATCCTGAGTGGTTGGCTAATCCAGTCCTTGTACCAAAGAAGAATAAAGAATGGAGGATGTGTGTTGATTACACCGATCTCAACAAACATTGCCCTAAGGACCCCTTTAGCTTACCTCGTATAGATGAGGTCATAGATTCCACCGCTAGTTGTGAGCTCCTATCTTTCCTTGATTGCTACTCTGGTTATCATCAGGTCTCCTTAAAGGAGGAAGACTAGATTAAGACTTCTTTTTATTACGCCTTTCGGTACCTATTGTTACACCACCATGTCCTTCAGACTTAAAAACACTGGCGCCATCTATTAGAGGGCCATCCAGCGTTGCCTTCCCAAGCAGATAGGGCACAACATGGAGGCCTATATCGACGATGTAGTGGTTAAGTGTAAGACTACCGATGACCTCATCACTGACCTCGAAGAAACATTCACCAACTTAAAGAGATTCCGATGGAAATTGAATCCCGCTAAGTGTATCTTTGGGGTTTCATCTGGTATCCTCTTGGGATACATCGTCATCTCCCATGGCATTGAAGCAAACCCTGAAAAGGTATCGACAGTCACTAACATGAAACAGCCAACCTATGTCAAGGATGTCTAGAAGCTAACGGGGTGTATGGCGGCTTTAAGCTGTTTCATGTCACGTCTAGGCGAAAAGGGTCTCGCTTTCTTCAAGTTGCTTAAATCTAAGGAGCACTTCACCTAGACGCCTGAGGCCGACCAGGCTTTTGCCGAGCTCAAGCTTTTCTTGACGACCCCTCCAATTATGACGGCGCCTTAGCCCAATGAAATCCTATTGGTCTACATCGCGGCAACTACCCGTGTCATCAGTATGGCCATTGTCATCGAGCGAGAAGAGGCTGGACATGCAAACAAGGTTCAACACCCAGTTTATTTCACTAGCAAAGTTCTGAACGAGTCTAAGACTCGGTACCCGCAAGTCCAAAAGCTCCGTACACCGTCCTGATTACGTCGTGGAAGCTCTGCCACTACTTCAAGAAGTACAACATGGCTGTGGTTACCGAATACCCGCTCGGCAATATTCTTCATAATAAGGAGGCCAGTGGGCGGTAGAGCTCAGCACGTACTCCATCGAGTTCAGGAGCCGACAGACTATAAAGTCGTAGGTGCTCGCCGACTTCATCGCTGAGTGGATCGAGATGCAAGAACCTATCCCGGCTAACCGTCCCAAGCACAGGACGATGTACTTCGATGGAGTACTCAACATCGCGGTCAAGCATCGTGGGTATACCCCTCAGTGGACTATCGATGATATTCCATCAACATAACTAATGAGATTTGTCAAGTGTGGACATGTAACAAATATGTAAAGGTGTATGAAAACATGTGAGCCCCCCCCCCCAATTCTTTTCTAAGCGGTGTTTGGATCAATCAAGGCTTACTTTTCGTTTTATATTTTGAATTTGAGTATAGGAAGCACCGTACTATAAAGGGGACATAAAATGCAAGCTTAAGGGGAATCTTGTGATCTCACTTCAAACCTAAAACCCCAAAGCAAAAGAAAGCCAGAAACATTCCTAGTCTTATCTGTTCTGGCCTATGTGGAAGTTCTGCGTTCGACCACTGAAGTTCTATGGTCGAGCGCATCCGGCCACAGAAGTTTCTCGACTTATCTGTACCGTTGGAATGGGGGTGAGGAGATTATTTATACTCACCTCTCTTCTTCCTCCAACAGTCGCCTACGCATTCGCTCACCCACCAACCTGCAAAAAAGTTTCTCTCCTCCATTGAAGGCCACCCAACCTCCCTTTGAGTTATTGGTGATTTCCACTTGTGAGATTGGGTTTGGGAGTGGATTAGAGAGCCCTTAAGCAAGAGCATCAGCTGAGATTGGTTCTCCCTCTATCTTGCACTTTGTGTTTATTACTTTTAGAGCTTGGGCTCCTAGACGGCTAGATGTTGCCTGGGACCTCCCAATCGGTTGTGGTTGAGCACTGGAAAGTTTGTATTACCCTTGTGAAGCTTAGTGGAACCCTCAAGCTCGATCTTTGTGGTTCATTTAAGAACAGATCAGAGTTGGAAGAGACTCGAAGCCTTTGTGGCTCTCTCAACAACAAGGACGTAGTCAAGCCTTTGTGGCTCCACTGAACCTTGGGGTAAATCACTTGTCTCCTTTCTTGTTGTTAGTTTGTGCCTCTTTCTCTCATTTGAATTGTGATTCGTAGAGGTTTTCCACCCGATCTACTCGTATAGAACCACTAGGAAGCTGGGTATTTAACTTGATCTGTTTTTCATCTATGATTTATAGCTCGAAGGCACTTTTAGCCTTGTGCGCGGAACTTCCACGGATTTGCTCAAGCTTGAAAAGCAAATGGAAGACAAAGATCTGATATATCTCACCTAAAACTTTAGGTACGTTCGATTCCATCCTATACTGTACCGTGGGTTCTAAATATGTATTCTATTCGATACCCTATAACTTATATCTGTATGCTTCAATTAATGCAGCAACCATTGGATTTACATAGTGGCTAATGTCAAGGTCTCGGCATGGTTTGAGTCCTTGATCCACTAGATAAGGGCAACTAGGTAAGGACCTGGAGGAGTACGTACAAAGACCTGGAGTATGTACACACGTTCATGTGTGATATTTGCATTGGATTTGACTGTGTATTTACCCCCTGCATTTTTATCCATCGTTGATCAACGCAAGTAGACAAAAGCATACCACTCCTCTTCCTATTCCTATTGTATTTGCAGGCCTTTTGAGAAAGGAGCCACCACAGATCCTAGTCTAGATAGCTGTATTTGCATGTCTTATGGCACAACCAACTATGTTAGAGTTGATGCTTTTTCGGATAAAGGGAGTAGATTTCTAAAGACAGTGTACAGAGACGGTGCAGTTGTCTCTATAAACCGTTTTCATCCATCTCTGAAAAGCGGTTTGGTAGTAGTACTGTATTCCTCCGACAAAACTTTGGACTTCTCCCATTCCAAACTAATAAAAAAAATTCCTTTGTGATCTAAGACAAGTGGGCTATGTTAGTCCAAATCAGCGGTTTTTATTGAAGACATTGTATTTGAATGGCGACTTGGCGAGCTAAGTTCCCCAAAAAAAACATCGCTCTTTAAGCGGCCAAGATGTACCTTAATCCAAGTTGGTAACATTGGAAAGTCAACTTCAAATGAATTTTAAAATTCATGGAGTGGTGCACATAATTAAGCTGTTAATTGGTCATACGACGACTTAGCGTTTACTAAGCATAATAGTGCACGTAGTCTATATATGATGATCAACGAACAATGGAGTCCTTGCTGTGCCTCGCATCGTGGCCTTGCTGTCCTACTTTGCCTTGAGATCTGCTCTTGACTGATTCTTCACTCGTAGTGTCAACTGTGCAGGCTATAAATAGGAGCCACCAAAGTCACACATTCGCCAATTCAAGTTTACAACCCTACGCCAAACTCCAATGGAAGATCGTAGAATAATAGTCCCCTGTATCGCCATTGTCTTCCTTGTCCTCGTCCTCATGCCGACGCGAATGGTTAGAGCGGGCAAATATCCACGCCTGACCATGACCCCAAGGACACAGCAGCAGCTGCGGAAGTTCTTCAAGAACCACGCGTCGGACATGGCCGATCTCCTCCCTAGTCAGGGGCAGCAGGGCCAGGGCGGCGGCAGCTACGACGATCAAAGCGAGCCTGGCAGTGGCCAGCAGGGCAGCAAGCCGGCCGGCGACGGGAGCAACGGTGGGCAGAGCCGGCAGGCCCCGGCCACCAACGCCGGCATGTTCCTGTACAGCTACCAAGTGGGCACGCCCCCACAGAGCGTGTCGGGCGCGCTGGACATCTCCAGCGAGCTCGTGTGGACGCAGTGCGGCTCGTGCGCCACCTGCGGCGTAACACCGGCCACGCCCTTCTACTCGACGCTGTCCACCACAATGGCGGTGGTGCGGTGCACGAGCGACGTGTGCCAGAACTCCGCCGCGCAGAACTGCAGCGCGGACGTCCCCGGGTGCGGCTACGTGTACATGTACAGAGGCGGCGAGGCCAACACCACCGGGTACCTCGCCACCGAGTCCTTCACGTTCGGCGCGACCCGCGTGGACGACGTCGTCTTCGGATGCGGCCTCGACAGCGTGGGCGACTTCGGCGGCGCGTCCGGCGTGATCGGCCTCGGCAGGGGCCCCCTCTCCCTGGTGTCGCAGCTGGACGCCGGGCGCTTCTCCTACTACTTCGCCCCCGACGGTGACACTGACACTGACACCCAGAGCTTCATCCTCTTTGGCGATGACGCCACGCCGCAGACCAAGCCAGCCTTGACCACCGCGCTCCTGGCCAGCGATGACTACCCCAACATCTAACTCGTCGGGCTGACTGGCATACAGGTCGACGGCAAGGACCTTGGCATCCCGCGGGGGACGTTCGACCTCCGTAAGGACGGTTCCGGCGGTGTGGTCTTGAGCATCGCCGTCCCTGTCACGTTCCTCGAGGAGAGCGCGTACAAGCTTCTGAGACAGGCGCTGGTGAGTCGGATACGGCTGCCCACGGTGAACGGCTCAGCGCTTGGCCTCGACGTGTGCTACGCGAGCCAGTCGCTGGCCACGGCCAAGATCCCGGGCATGGCGCTCGTCTTCGACGGCGACGCCGTCATGGAGCTGGAGGTGGGCAACTACTTCTACATGGACGCCAGCAGCGGGCTAGAGTGCCTGACGATACTGCCGTCGTCGGACGGGCACGTGTCGCTCCTCGGCAGCCTCATCCAGGCCGGCACGCACATGATCTACAACATCCATGGTTCGACGCTGACGTTTGAATCGCTCCAGCAAGCGTCGTCGCCGCCGCCGCCGCCGCCGCCGTCGAATAATTCCTATCAAGGGAGGCCAGGGCATCGGCTGTCATCAGCTCCACCGCCACACATCTCGTTGCCTATGCTCTTTGCCCATTTCTTGTGGGTCGCGGTGTACATGGTTTGAATTATCGATTGCCATATAAGTTTGATGGTGTGTGGGATCGGAACAATGCTCCAACAAAAGAGGGGAGCTCGCGAAAAAATAAACTGTCTAATCATGTAATTTTATGTCATTTTAGGCCTCGTTCGTTTGCTGTGAATTCAATACCGGAGCAGATTTCTTCCAGCCTAGGAATGAGTGGGGCCATGTTTAGATTGCAAAAAATTTCAAACCGATGAATAGTAGCACTTTCATCTTATTTGATAAATATTGTCCAATCGTGGACCAACTAAGCTCAAAAGATTCATCTCATGATTTCCAACTAAACTGTACAATTAGTTATTTTTTTTACCTATATTTAATGCTTCATGCAAACGGCTAAAAATTGATGTGATGGAGAGAGAGTGAAAAACTTGAAAATTGGAGGTGATCTAAACAAGGCCTGGATACATGCCTGTCACTCATTTACTGCCCTGTAACTATTCCCTGCTTCAACCATCTGCTGTTCGGTTTGCCAGGGATCCAAAACATGTATTGCTTGGGGCACTAACAGCAGATACCTGTTTTGGATACGTGCCTGTTTTGGAATGCTGCAAATACATCTCATGAAATACATTGCAAATACATTGCAACAAAAACAAGCTCTTATATGTTGCAGCAAAATAAAATAAATAAATCTTCCATGTTTTGGATTTCTTTATCTGCAAGTCTCTCATCATGCTCTCATACATGTAGAGATAATGGGCAGTAAAGAGTACTACAGATAATGTGCAGCCACAGATAAAGGACATGCTAGCTATTGCCAAAATTGACAAAAGGTGCACCAAAAGGCTGTCACAATCCACTCATGAAATTACAATCTTTTCTCACATAAACCATCACAAAAGTGCATAAATCCAAAGCATAATTTAAACTAGTAGATAACTCGTCTAAGCCTATTCAAGTGTCCAGGCACTTTGTCCAATCGAATGTTTTTTTATCATCATTGCCTCCTCCCTGAAAATGACAGTAAGTTTTTTTACAAATTACTGAATAATTGAACGAAAATGACTCGCAATATAGTCAACCAAAGCATAATTAAATCATTGTGTCAGTTTAAAATATTTGATTAGTTATGAAACTAATCGGTGCCTTCACATGCTCTATCCCTATCTTATCAAACTGAAAGGACAAATGGTTTTTGTGCCTTTCTTATCAAACTGATCCAGAAGAATGATGCAACCAAATTTGGCCACAAGTTTAGTCCAGCGCCAGCAACCATGTTTACTTATGTGGAGTTCATTAACCATGTCGATGATGATTCTTTTCCATGATCTAAAACTGGCTGCAGTTATCTTGAAGTACTAACATAGCAAAAACTTTGCTAACTTCCTAACATATAGAAATGGAAGTGACTGCATCCTCTGTGAATCAGCAGCTGCTATTAGATTGAAATTGTAAGACTAAAAGGCAGAGAAAAAAACAAGCCCTAACATGCACAAATAAGAAACATCACTTGTTCCAGTTTGTGATATATAAATTCTTTTGGCCATTACTGTGGTTATAAAAAAATCCAACTTAATCATGAGGTTCAAATGTCCCTTGATACAAACAACAACATAGTAACATATATATTCACAGCAAGTGATAGCCATTATTATTAACTTATGAGGCACATTATGTAATAATAATAATAATAACTTTACTAAAATCATGAGACACATTTCAGTTACCTAACTAGGAATGGTGGAAACATAATTAGAATGGTGAAAATAGACAACTAGTGACAAACCGACAATTCAAAGAAAACTATTTCATTTGCTAAATGACAGGAGTAGATCTCAACTTTCAACCTTACTGTAAAGGGCAGCAATTTTCAAGCTAAATGAAAGGAGCAGATCTCAGCTTTCAACCTGACTAGAAATGCATCTCTACAGTCCAAATCCTCTTACTAGCAACTCAACTATCAAAATGTTCTCATCTCTAAGGGTTGCACAAAACTAGAAAATATTTCTTCTTTCAGTTTTGTAGTGACTAAAGGACTCTTGTAGTCAAATAGAAGGAAAACATCAAGTTTTCAACAATTAAGTAGACTGACCTGTTAGACCATCGCACTTTTGAGCCAAACCAAAGTTGCTTCTCGATCTAGTTCACACCCACTTAGGAAGGCCTCTCTATTTTCTTTGCTCTTGATGAAAACTGCAAATGCTTTTGCCTTCTCTTCCTTTGTTACTTCCATTATGCTCAGAACAGATATACACCTTTTGAATAGAGAAGTCATTACCTTCAGCAACCTCCTTTTCTTTGTCTAGATCTATAGACTCATCTTGTACTTACTTAGTCCTCATGTCTAGGTATCTCCCCATTATTTCTTCAATCCTTTCACCCTTCTTAGGCCTCTTTTCTTCCTTTTCATGTTTTTTTGCTTGATGTAGTAGTATTAGTTCTTCGCTGCCCGCTTCTTTCAATAGCTACGACCTCATTTTCTTCATCTCATGACAGAGAATCTCGCTATCCACTTCTTTCAACAGCTGCAAGCTCACTTATTTGCATCTCAGTGATTGAACCATCTTCATCTAGTAACTCATGAACCTCGATGCTATCCAAGTCTTCTACTTCATGAGTTTGTTGAAGTGGTTCTTCTTCTTGTGGTGGCCCAAGGAAAGTGAGATTATAAGTACCTTCAGCCAAATGACCTACACGATAACTTTTAGGTTAGTTCATCAAGCTATATTTTTGAATTCGGGTAATCTTATCATGTACTGCAAGATGTCTCATGGCAAAACTAAGTGTGCAGCAATGCATAACTTTTAGGTTAGTTCATCAATGTTAAAGACTAAACATATGCCTCATGGCAGAACAAAGCAATACTCATCCTGAGAAAATAGCACATGTGCAACAACATATACTATGGTAACTTAATTCTACATCATGACAGTACAGATGAGAAGAACATAGATGTAGAGTTGTTGTTCTGACATCTATAAATTGTGACAAGTAGAAGCATATAACCTAACTCTACAAATATAGCATATTGTTGCTTAGTCATCAGCACTAGTAGAAAAGTATTCTTGTAATTGTTCCATCAGTAGAAAATATAAACCGTAACTAGCATATTGTTGCTTAGTCATCAGCACTATAAAAATACTTGATCAAAAACTACTAGACAAGTCAAGTGAATCACAGGATAATATAGAGCAGCAAGATAGAAACAAACAAATACTAAAGTGAGAAGCAGAAAGAATATATTGATTGGCACTATTTGCAACTATAGAAAGTGAACCTTCTAAAGTACCTTCTGGAGTTGGTACCGGATCCCAAGAAGGCGGAGGTTCACCTTCCCCAACTCTAAATGGTGCTGGAGAGATCTACATGTAACAAGAAACCGCAAGTCACATAGTGCTGAAGGATTATATAATACATCTAAATAGTGTTGGAGGATACACAATACATCTAGCATTGCATGCTACATTTCTGGAAACTGAAAATTAGCTCAAAACAACATGCTAGAATTAAAATTATTTTTATTTTATTTATACTATCAACAAATAATATCATGTATACTGCCAAGTATAGAAAAATAGACACATGAAGCTACTGCCTACTAAACTAAAGAATCAGTCATATATCAACATTATACAAAACTCTGTATTGAATGAAAGTATCAATTTTAGGAACAAACTAAAGAATGGACAAACTAATTGTGTGCAGTCCATCTATTTTAGTTCTGACAATCAGTAACTCTATGATATTGTGGTCATTAAACATAATTAATGTTACAAGCCCCTTCTCAGAAAGCACATCTTCTACAGTAATATCAATTGTTTAATCACAGTGATATAGTTCCTTCACATATGTCAGAGTTCTTTTCCAGATCGAAGAACTGAAGAACACGCCTGTGACCTAGGTCAACCTGGAGTAGGATAGATTGGCGCCCACTTCTAGCCCCGACTACTGATCACATCATCATCCATCGAACTACCAGGAGACCATCGTGCTCAAGATCAAAGAACCCTAGAGGAGGGAGAGAGGACAAGGACGAAGGGGAGAGCGAGGGGATCACCGGCAAGGAGGAGGAGGAAGGGGAAGGACGTAGGGTCGCCATCTCCTCGTGCCGCACCGCGGTCACCCCGCGCCGCCCCGCCATCGCCTCGCGTCGCCCCACCGTTGCCTCTGTTGCTCGAGTCAGTCGCGTGCTCGCGTCGCTTCCAAAAGCCGGCACCGATCTGGAGGTAAGGAGGTCCGGTTCCATTCTAGGCCATGGAGACAGGGAGAAGTGAGGCTAGTTTTGGTTTCAAACCGGACCGAAACGAACGCACATTCTCATTCACATCCGGATTGGAAACGGGCCACAACAATCCACCGGAATTGGCCCCGGAATGGGCCAATCTGGTAGAAACAAACGAGGCCTTAGAGTTTACCAAAATTTAGCGGTACGAGGAACCAAACACTCAGATAGTAGTAGTTTTCTGTTCTCTTCTGAAAATGAGAGTATTAATTAACAATATTGCCTTGAGTATGTATGTGGTTTCCTAGCAAATGTTCTCTAAAATCACTAATATGTTGTTAGATTTTATTGGGCTTGGCCAAATTTTATTCAGTTAAAATCAAATAAATCTTAAGATCCAGAATGAATGCTAGGCGCAATAGAGACTGCATGATATGACGAGCACGGGATCGGCGAGACTAGACAACCACATCATGGTACCAGGTGGGCTGCTTTAGTCACTTTGAGCTGGTGGGTTGATTCTCGTTGATGATTGGACTTGTAATAGTTATGGTTATAACTGCGGTTACCAATATCTCTTGTTGTTATGGCTGCGATTACTGGTAACTGATGAACGCATTCATTACGTCGAGGTTCATTTTTTTACCTCTTTTCCTTTCATCTCTTATGCCTATAAGAAGGGTGCTCGCCTTTAGACTGGCGCATGAACATACATATCAAGCACCGTCGTTATTCTATTTCCACTACTTTCTAGTTCCCCATTCCAACTCCTACACGTACATTGTTGCTGCTTTCTAGTTCCCCGTTCCAACTCCTG